CTAAAAGTAAAAAAATGGAAAAAGATATTTCATGCAAATAGAAAGGAAATAAGGCTGGCATAGTAGCAATACTTAGACAAACTAGGCTTCAAAAAAATCATAACAAGTAATAAAGGACATTACATAATGTTAAAAGGAACAATACATCAAAGGATATAACCCTTGTAAATATGTATGCACCCAACATAGGAGCACCTAAATATATAAAGAAAATCTTGATGGACATAAAGGGAGAGATCAACAATATATCCTACTATAGGCATAGTAGGGAACATTAACACATCACTGACATCAATGGATAGATCTTCCAGAAAGAAAATCAACAAGGCAACAGTGGTCTCAAATGACACAATTGACCAGATGGATTTAATTGATATCTTCAGAGCATTTCACTCCCAAAGCAGAATATACATTCTTTTCAAGTGCACATGGAACATTTTCTAGGACAGACCAGATGGTTAGGACACAAAATAAGTCTCAATAAATTTAAGAAGACTGAAATCATATCAATCATCTTCTCTGACTATAATGGTATGAACTACAAATCAATCACAAGAAATAAAACTAAAAAACACACAAGGACATGGAGGCTAAACAACATTTTACTAAAAAAAATGCAATGGTTAACAATGAGATCAAAGGAAGAAAGAAAAAGATACCTTGAAACAGATGAAAATGAGAACTCAACAACCCCAAATCTATGGGACACAGTGAAAGCAATCCTAAGGGAAATTCATAGCATCCCAGGCCTATCTCAAGAAAGAAGAAAATCTCAAATAAAAAATCTAAATTTACCCTTAAAGGAAGATAACCAAAGAAAGCCCAAAATAAAAAGAAGGAAAGAAATAATAAAGTACAGAGCAGAAATAAACAAAATAGAGTCTAAAAAAATGCAAATAACCAATAAAAACCAAGATCAGGTTCTTAGAAAAGTTAAACAAGATGAATAAACCTTTAACCAGATTAACCAAGAGAAAAAGGGAGAGGACCCAAATAAATAAAATAAGAAATAAAAGAGAAGTAACAACTTCTCTTGCATTTCACGGAAATGCAAGGGATTGTAAGAAAATATTGTGTCAACTACATGGCAGCAAATTAGACAATTTGCACAAAATGGATAAATTCCTAAAAACATACAATCTTCTAAAACTGAATCAGGAATAATCAGAAAAGCTGAATAGACCAATTACAACTAATGAATTTGAAGCAGTAATCAAAGAATGCCCAACATACCAAAGAGGGCTTCAGAGGGGAGTTCTACTAAACACTCAAAGAAAAACTAACACTTATCTTTCTCAAATTATTCCATGAAGTTAAATTGGAGGGAAAACTCCCAAGCTCATTATATGAGGCCAACCATTATCCTAATTCCAAAACCAGAGAAAGATACCACAAAGAAAATTATAGGCCAATATCCCTGACCAACAAAGATGCCAAAATTAGCAAACTGGATCCAGCAATAGATTTAAAAAATCATACACTATGATTAAGTAGGATTTAGTCTAAGGATGCAAAGTTGGTACACTATCTGGAAATTAATAACCATGATATACCACATAAACAAAATTAAGGACAAAAATTACATGATCAAAACAATAGATGCAGATAAAGCAATTGATAAAATCCAGCAGCCATTTATGATAAAAACTCTCAGCAAAATGGGAACAAAAGGAACATAACTCAACATAATAAAGACTATATATGACTAACCCACAGCAAACATCATACTCAATGAGCAAAAACTAAAAGCATTTCCCTTAAGATCAGGAAGAAGACAGGGATGTCCATTTTCACCTCTCTAATTCAACATATTACTCTAAGTCCTGGCCACAGTAATCAGACAAGAAGACGAAATAAAAGGTATCCAAATTAAAAAGGAAGAAGTAAAACTATCATTGTTTACAGATGGCACTATAATATATATGGAGAACCCTAAAGATTCTACCAAAAAAACTACTGGAATTGGTAAATAAACTCAGTAAAGTAGCAGGATACAAAACAAGTATCCTGAAATCAGTTGCATTTACTGTATTTTTTGGACTATAAGATGCACTTTGCCCCCAAATTTGGGAGGAAAGGGGAGCATCTTATAGTCTGAATGTAGCTTACCTGGCTCACAGGGGTGGGGGGCAGCCTATGTTATTTATGTTACTAAATATTTTACCACATGTTTTGCTTCAAAATTTTTTTTCCTATCTTCCTCCTCTAAAGCCTAGGTGCATCTTATGGTTCAAAAAATTCGCTATATACACCAATAGCTCTCAGAAAGGAAACCTAGGAACCCGTGGAACAGTGGAAGAGAATAAAGAACCAAGAAATAAACACACACCTTTATAGTCAATATCTCACAAAGGACGCAGAAACCTAAAACTGGGTAAACAGTTTATTCAATAAGTATTGCTGTGAATATTGGACAGATACATGAAAAAAAAAGAAACTAGACCACTTTCTTATATACATAAAGATAAAACTCAAAATGCATTAAAGAGTTAAATGTTAGACTTGAAACCACAAAAATCCTAGAAGAAAACGTAGTGAAATCTTGGATGTTTCTCACAGCAATGTATTTTTCTTTGATATATCTCTTCAGACAAGGAAAACAAAAGATAATATAAACAAATGGGACTAAATCAAACTAAAACATTTTTGACAGCAAATGAAAGCATCAACAACCTGAAAAGACAACCCACTGAATGTGAGAGCATAGTCGCCAATGATTCATCTGATAAGGGGTTAATATCCAAAATTTATAAAGTACTTACACAACTCAACATCAAAAAAATGACTGATCCAATTAAAATATAGGCAAAGGACCTGAAGACACTTCTCCAAAGAGGACATACAGATGGCCAACAGGTATATGAAAACATGCTCAATGTCACTAGTCATGAAAGAAAGGCAAATTAAGCCACAATGAGATATTATCACCTCATATCTGTCAGAATGGCTATCATCAGTAAATCAACAAACAGGAGTTGGCAAGGATGTGGAGAAATGGGAACCCGCATGGACTGTTGGTGGGAATGCAGACTGGTGCAGACATGGTGGAAAGCAGTATGGAGTTACCTTGAAAAATTAAAAATGGAACTGCCTTATGACCCAACAATTCACTCTCTGGAAATTTACCCAAAGAACCCAAAACACTAATTCTAAAGAATATATGCACTACTACGTTCACTGAAGCATTATTTAAAATAGCCAAGATTTGGAAGCAGCCCAAGTGCCCATCAATAGATGAGTAGATAAAAAGCTGTGGTACATTTACACAATGGAATATTACTTGGCAGTGAAAAAGAAGAAAATCTTACCCTTTGCAACAGCATAAATGGACCTGGAGAATATTATACTAAGTGAAATAAGATAGCCAGAGAAAGACAAGTACCATATGATTTCACTCATATGGGGAATCTAATGAAATGAACAAAATAAACAGACAAAACAGAAATAGATCCACAGATACAGAGAACAGGCTGAAAGCTGTAGAGGGGAAGCGTATTCGGTAGCTGGGTGAAAAAAGATAGTGAAGGGATTAAGCAACAACAACAAAAAAAACCTCAAAGATAAAGACGTCAGTATGGTGACTACCAGAGAGAAAAGGGGAGGGAGGTAGCAGAGGGTAAAGAGTAGATAAATGTTGAAGGAATAAGACTTGATTTTGGGTGGTAAACACAAAATACAATATACAGATGATGTACTACAGAATTGTACACCTGAAAAACCTATATAATTTTATTAACCAATGTCACTTCAATAAATTTAATAAATTCTTTTATTTTAAAAAAGGACCCAACTTAACTGCCTACAATTTTCTCAACATGTGACCTGGACTAAGCACTGGACCCAGTTCTTTAGGAAGACAGAAATGTGCATGATATAACAAATAGTAAAAGTATAACAAAACAGTCACTATTTCTAAACTTCAATATCCTTCAAATGTTATAAATAATAGCGTTTCTTCCATTATTCTCTGATCACATCCAGCCACAGAAATCTCTCCTTCCTCATAACTTTCTACCTCATTCTCACCTCTACTCTATGTCTTTTTTTTTAAATATTTTATTTATTTATTTTTTAGAGAGGGAAGGGAGGGAGATAGAGAGAGAGAGAGAGAAACATCAATGTGCGGTTGCTGGGGGTTATGGCCTGCAACCCAGGAATGTACCCTTGGCTGGGAATCGAACCTGGGACACTTTGGTTCCCAGCCCGCGCTCAATCCACTGAGCTACGCCAGCCAGGGCTACTCTATGTCTTAAAATGAAAGTCTCATTTGTTTAGAGAAAAAGTCACTCTCCCTTTTCTCTTTTAAAAAGGTAATTGAAATTTAAAAATATAAAAATAGCTCTCATTGATATATGAAATATGCATTTCTCTGCATACTACAGTTAGAAAAAGTATTCCATAAAACTCTTTAACCTTTGATAACACATTCAAGTTTTCTGAAACTAATAATAAAGAAGAAATCACTCTGCAGTACAAAATTAATCCAAATTCTATTTTGCAGGAGCTGGAATTTAAACGTGCACACACATCCCACAAAAGCACAAATACAACATCCCACAAAAGCACAAATACAACTCAGGTCACCTTAACACACTAGTACTGGCTGAACAACAACAACAACATTTCCTCTACCATGTGTATTCAGCCTAAACCACAAAATACTCAGGAATATCCACAAATAGCTAAGACATTAAAATCATAATTTTATATAGCTACTACCAATTTTTTCCATTGCAGAATTTAAAAGAGGACATTATGAAATGGTTTTACAAGAAAGGCACCTTACAAGATAAGCTATTTCTTCAAATAAATAACAAAGTGATACGTAAATGTGACATCAAAATCTGTCACAAATAAAGATCTGTCCATTTGTTAAGCCTTGTTTAATTTTAATTGAATTGTGTTTAAATTTTCTATACAGAGAAAAAAGACCTTTCTAACAATAAAGTATAAAACTTGGTGAAAAAAATACATCCTTTCAATGGGTTGCCATGTCTTACCTTTGAATCCTCATTGCTCACTCCTAGCTGTAACACAGCTTGAGGAGATTTCAGTTTTGCTTGAGCAGAATGAGCCATCTGAAGGTTAAGCTGCCATCCGACCGTCTCTAGCTATAAAACACAAGTGCAGATTAGAATGAGATGATACAGAAGGAAGAAAACAAACAACTTTAAGTGAATCTCCACTCAGCAGGAATGAATATGGATAGCCTGGACTTCATGGTGAGTCAGTTCCAGAGCTCCTTTAACCTGCATACTCCGCAAAGTCCTCCTTTAGGCTCATATATTGGCTTCATGCCATGCTTGTCAAATTCAACAGTAAAACTGGTCTTTAAATACAATCTGTTCTAAAAATAAAAGTTCTAAGATTAAGCAATAAAATACACTAAGAGAGTCAATGGTTTTTAAATAGTACATTACTATTTTAAAATAGTATGTTTTAAAGCCAATGATTTTTAAATAGCTATCTATTTTAACTAGTAAATAGTATATATTGATCATAATCACTTCAATAACCTTCCATTATCTTTGAAAACTCCTTGCACTAGGTAGAAGACAGATCAGAGGGGTTTTTTAATTTAGAGGGAAACTGAAGTACCCAGATGGTAAGAGGTTCACACATTTAGACACAGTTAGTGAGACTGGAAAAGAGCCAGGCAAAAGAATTGCTATCTTCTAGTGAGCAGGTGGTATCTGATAGACCATCGTGCTTCCTAAAGTACTCTAAGTTACTATGGTTCCCAGTTATGACAGAACTAATTAGAAGATTTCCTTTGAATTTATTAATTAACAGAACAGCAAATTTTAATCACCTAAGGCAAAAATAGTAAAGACAAACTAAAACAGCATGAATGTGGCTTTATTGGACTTGATAGATTATTGGTTTCACCAACCTCAGAATTATGAATACAAAATTTTAGATTTAATTCCTAGAAAACCTCATGTATCAATAATTAAGGAAGTATTACAAAATGCAATTATCATGTGCCTCTGACAACATGACCCTAATAATTGATTTAGTAAAACTACCTTAGTTGCATTGGTAAGAATGGCAGCCTCACAACAATTTTTACTTAACCAGAATACTAATTGCTAACTTGAAAGCCTGTTCAACAGTCAGAATCACAGCAGTGCCAAATTGGAACGAGAGCAATGGAAGTATTATCTATTTGAGAGAGGATGTGATGAGAAAATAAAGATACAGTTCTGTTCTCTCTGGCACTGAACCTTGTAGAAGTTCAGGGTGAGATGGGGGAAGGTATTGCAGAAACATAACCTATACTACCACAAGTAAAAAATCAGTTCAACAGTGCATGTTAAGTAACGATTTTTAGTGTACTGATCTTTAACACTGATTACAGTAAGCACAGTCTCTAATACCAGCCCACCACTATTTTCAAGTCACATAAAATAAACCCTACAAGAAGACAGGAAAAAAATATGATATAACCACTCTCATATATATAAGCATATATACAAGCATATATATATATAGCATATATGAATTCCTCTAGGAATTCATATGAACCTGTAAGGCACTGTTTTGATCTCATTTAACTGATTCTATTCCTATCTTGTAAGCACTTAAGATAAATACTGCTTTAAGTGAATATAAGCATACTCCCATTGTGGTCAGTCCTTTGCATACATTAATGTATGCTTAGTCACTGCGGAGAGGTGGTGTGGGAGAATTAAGAACTTGAAGCTTGTGCTTTGGTTCATGCTTAAGCTATAGTTCACTAGCTATGCAACCCTGGTTAAGTCACAAACATCTAAGCCCTCAATTTCCTCATATGAAATGGAAATAAATCTATCGGATCTACTTTTCTGAGTAACTGACAATATCAAGTAAAAAAATGTATATTCAAAGTGCTCTGGAAACTGCAAAGCATTATAAATATAAGGCATTTGATCACCTAATTTTTTCTATAGTATCTTTTAATAGAGTAGGCATTTTATGTACGGATTGAGTTGAAATAAAATGAATCAAAGAACACTCACAAGGAAAGGTAATTTTAAAGAGTCATGACTGAAATGAGTTTGTGGATTGGCTTTCTTTAATCTCATAGCCTTTCTACTGAATTTTGTGTTTTAAAAAATAATTTTCTCAAGACCACATGAAAGATTAATTTAAAAAATAAATAACATTGCTAAGCTCATATGTAGTCATATATACATATGCACACCCACAAAATAGTTTACAGAAAATAATTGATATTCAAGTAACTTAAATGAAGAAAAAATATAGGAAGAATAACTAGAGTTATAAAAGAATACTTTACAGACACAAAGAACAATAAGAAAAACAAACTCTTTTCAGTGAAATCAGGAGACATAATCAACACTACTTGAGATAGCTACTCTTATTATATCCCCATTTTACAGATTAAAAATGTAAAGTATAAAACACTGAATTGGAGTAAAGAGTATATAGAGGTTCCTTATGCTATTATTGCAACTTCTCTCTAAGTTTGAAATTATATCAAAATCAAAAGTTACAAGATATTGATTCAAGTAAGAATCAGCAATGGATCCTAAACCTAAGAGGTGAAAGTTTGATTTGGAATGAAGAGTCACAAATATCTACCCGCAATCATTTTTTAGTTATAAAAGAAAAAAAGTAATTATGCAAGGGAGAAAAGAAACATCATCTTTACCAAGAGATCAAAATTAAGACCACGAAAAAGTGGCAAATGGCTATCACATGACTCTAGGTTTGATATCCTGCAAAGACCACAATATTACTTACATAGCTTTCTACCCAAATAACATAACCTAAATTTGATCATAAAGAAACAACAAAAAAATAAAAATGGAGAAACGTCATATAAAATAAATGGCATGTATACTTCAAAAATGTCAATGTCCTAAAAGACAAAGAAAAGCTGAAAACACAAGTACAGCTGACCCTCGAACTACAGAGAGGTTAGGGGCACTGACCCCTGAATAGTAAAAAAATCTGCCTGTAACTTTTGAATCCCCCAAAACTTAACTACTAATAGCCTACTGTTGACCAGAAGCTTTAATGATAACATAAACAGTCAACACATTTCATACGCTATATGTATTATATACTATATTCTCAAAAAAAGAAAGCTAGAAAAAGAAAATGTTACTAAGAATATCATAAAGAAGAAAAAATACATTTATAGGATTTATTGAAAAAAGAACCTATTGACAATATTAAGTACAGACTTACTATACATAGATATCAGCCTTAATGCACCAAGCATTCAATTTGAGAGAAAGCCTGGTGTGCTTTCAGGATACTAATGATTCCCATCCTTATGCAAATTTCAGTAAGTTTATGAAACCTACACTTATAAGTAAAATCAGACTTTCATCCTAGTTTTTTATTCATTTGAAATAACAATGGCAAAATGATACAGACTGGCCTGTGCAAATGGAGAAATAAAAATGAGTTACCATTAATCGATATGGAAAAACTATAAGAACAGTTTTAAGAAGAATGATCCAAAGAGCATTTTACTTTTTTATTGTTAAGTTTGAGATGCCTATCAGACATCCAATGAAATTATCAAGCAGGCAGACCCTGGCTAGAAAAAAAAAGTATTGAATTCCCGACGCCCAGACGTGACTGCCAAGGAAGAAGGAAGGAAGGAAAGATGGGTAGAAGGGAGGGAGGACAGGAGGAACAAGGAAAGGAAGGACATTTTTTCCCACTGCTCAAAAGTTTTTGAACTCTGATTTTGATACCTTTTAGTGCTTCTGCTGTTTTTGTATCACCTCTTCCACATCAACAAAACATTTCCCTTTGAGGACTTTTTTCATGGGGGAAACAAAAAGAGACACTCAGGATAAGAATGGGTGAATAGGGAGGGTGAGGCACAGAGGACATGCTGTTTTTGGTCATAAACTCCTAAACACTCAGCATGGTGTGGGCAGGTGTACTCATAAATCACCCATCAATGGGCAAAGACCTTGAAAGGTGATGACTGGCCAGAGCACCTCTGGCCAAAAGGAATGTGTATTGTTTTGGGAATGTATTGTAACTCCCTCCTTATCTCCTTTTGGGAGCTACTTCTTGTCCTGTGACTACCACTTGACCTCCTTCTGCTGGTACACACTGAGGTAATGTAGTTTAGAGTCACGCATAGGACATGTGCCTCCTTTGTCTGGAACCCCTTATAATGAGCCTCAGACTGGAGGACATGCGGTTTCTCTCATATCAACCTCCCATCCTCCGTGCACACCCATAATCTGAGTAATAAATGGCATGTTCACATCAGGTAGTCCACCTGGTGGTGGTGGGGTTTTTTTTTTTTTTTTTTGGAATATCATGAACACTTAAGCAGCTCTCCGTTTAGGGGTTCCTGCACTACATGAAGATATCAATAAATGGAGAGATATACCATATTCATAAATTTAAAATTTCAATACTGTTAAGATGTCAATTCTTCCAAAAGTGATTTACAGATTTAGGACAATCCAATTAAATTCCCAGCAGGCACTTTTTATAGAAATGGACAAGATGATTCTAAAATTTAAATGGAAATGCAAATGACCTAAAAAGGCCAAAGTGATTTTTTTAAAGTTGGAGAGGCTACACTACCTAACTGTAAGATTTATTATAAAGCTAGAGCAATAAAGACAATGTGGCACTGGCAAAAGGATAGATATATAGACTCATCAATTGACTCCCGACAAGATGCCAAGGTAAGTGATGCTGGAACTACCAGACAGCTATATAAAAACTAAATGAAAAACCCCTACCTAACACCAAACACAAAATGAACTCAAAATGTTTCACAGACCTAAATGTGAGTACTAAAACCATCAAACTTCTAGAAGAAAACACAAAAGAAAATCTTTGTGATCTTGAGATAGGTAAAGATTTTAGATTGAACATTAAAATCATGAACCATAAAAAAAATTTTAAACTGGACTTCATCAAAATTAAAAAGTCTGTTCTTCAAAAGTCACCATTAAGAAAAAGGAACCTTCCAGCCAAGATGGAGGCATAGGTAAACACACTTCCCCTACTCACTACTACAGAAAAAAATTACATCTAACCTACAAAACAAATATCATCCAGAACTGTCAGAAAATCGAGCTGTAAGAAAGTCCAACAACCAAGGATTTAAAGAAGT